GGGACTCGAGTCGAGTCGAGTCATTTGCTTGCAGTGACTCGAGTCGAGTCGAGTCATTTACCCGTCGGGACTCGAGTCGAGTCGAGTCGCCAAAAAATGTGACTCGAGTCTGACTCGAGTCGAGTCATTGACTCGAGTCATTACAACTCTGCCGTAACCATGCGCGTCGGCAAAATGAAAAAGTTTTTCTTCAATGAAAGATGATGTCTCAAAACCACCAAACTCACTGGTTTGACTGGAATCCTGCTACTGCACAATTTTAACGTATTTTTAGATGGGGTTATGATCGAGAATAAGCTTTATGTGGCCTCTCTGGATTCCCATATATTTGCACTAAGTTTAGTCGGGCACCATTTGCAGTCATCAGCCGACATTTGAAGCAAAAAAGTCAGGTAAAAAAAAAAAAAAGCCGCGTCACTGCACCACTTTTTGGACAAGCTCCTTACCAGAACCAGAGACTTATTTTTTTTGGCCTAAAGATGCTTGTTTTTGCGGCTGATGCGCTAGGGCCTTTTTGCTAGGAACCATCCTCAATTCTCCAAAATCCTCCAAAATGTTGCACGTATGTTCAAATGAAGGATACCCAGCATCTCAATCCTTCAAAATCATCAGACAGTCCTGCCTCTCAAATGCATTAACCCTCAATCCTCCAAAATCCTCATGTTTCTCAAACACCATTCATCCTCAATCCTTCAGAACCGCCATGAGGATTTTGGAGGATTGAGGGTTAGATAGTTCCAATTAAAAAAAGGGATAAAAATGAGACTATAATGACACCTGAAGGGTTTCTTAAATTATCCCATGATCGCGAGTGCAATTCATCATCAGTACATGAACAAACTGAACATCAAGTATTAATTAACAATTTCAGTTTACACGTTTTGAAAATACAAATCATGTCAAATCAAAAAGGAACCTTTTCGACATTATGATGTATACGTGTATACAGTTTTGACAATACACAGTTGGTAAACCATGAACCTAATAAACGCTCATGATTATAGAATCATTAGCAGTCTGTGCAAACAGAAGAGCTATTTTAGATACATGAACCAATACTTCATAATCCGGATACAATTGTGTCATAATGGCAGGGGCAAACAAAAAAAGCACTTAACAATTGAAAATGTCTATTCAATTTAAAAGGAAATAAAATCCTGTGTACAGTGCAATTACTCTCAAGTGTACTCCTTGTTTTACTAAGTATTTTACACAATAGTTGGACCACCTCAACGTGAGTGAAGATGATTATGTGTACATCTCAAGTACGGTAGAACAAGTGCCCCAGTTGTACACATGGACAGTCCCAAGTATATTTAGAGCAATCTTTCATGTAACTATAGTTCGAGCAGTACAGGCTTAACTAGGACCCCTCTTTTTTCCCCACTGTTGCACATCAGTTGTGAACCAAATGGTTCTTTGACTTTACTTCCCTTTAAATAATCCTTCAGAGCCATGAATCAAAAAGAAAAAATGTAACTGGCCTTCACCAGCTGTTTATAAGCCGAGGGGTCCTAAAAATAATTAGTGCCCAGTTGGGCATGCCAAACTATAGTTTGAACATGATGTACCGGTAGGAAACAAAGTATTGGAGTGTCATGGCCTAGCGGTTAAGAGCACCAAACTCATGCTCTGGTAATTCAGAGGCAACAGTGGCGTGGGTTCAAGCCCAGGCCCGGACACCTGTGCCCTTAAGCAAGGCACTTAACCATTATTGCTTCGTCCTTCGGATGGGACGTTAAGCCGGAGGTCCCGTGCGTTGTATAAGGCCTAACGCACGTAAAAGAACCAAGTGACACTTATCGCTAAGAGAAGGGGTTTGCCACGGTGTTTCTGGCCTCCTAGTTACAATGTATACTCCCTTGTGGAAGTCCTTAGAAGAAGAACCAACCAAGTACCAAGTACTTGGCCAACAGTGTCGTGTTTTGACAGTCAGTTGGCCTATTACACTGTAGAATCCTGTAATGTACTCTAAACTTTGGTTGCATAAATTGTCAGTTTGGATGCTCCTGAAACATATTATGCCTATGGAACCAAATGATCCAAAGTCCTCCAAATCAGAAGACAAAACCCTACTGAAAGGAAGACTGAGGTGAAGCCAAAGTTTCAATCCATATGCATGTTTAGGCTCCCTTGTCCCTGATTTAGTTGGGTCTGCAGCTACAGTAAAGACTGAAATAACAAACCTTCTGCAGGGATTCATGAAGTATTAAGTTTGGATTTATACAGTAACAGCACTGTAACATGCTGATAGATCCTCACCTTTTTCTTAAATTCTGAATCGGATTTTCTTCTAGATGGGGTAGATGTATGTACCGGTACCCACTACATTGCCACTGCTATCTCCGCATTTCTTGGAGTGCAGATTTTAACTGCCACACTCTTCGTGCAACTTTTTACCGACGCAGCATGCAGTTGCAGATGGCAGTTTTGAATTATATCCAAATATTCGGTCAAACACAGTTTCTAGTAATCGAATACTCATTTACCCAGTATTTGAAAACGGACAGCCCTATTTCACACAGAGTAAAGCCAAGTGATTTGAATTCGAGGCACAAAACCAGATTGGCACATGTCAAATGTTCTGAAAAGACGATGGACCTTTTAGTCTGTTGTAATCTATAAAGTCAAAACAAAGTGAAAGTACGATGTGGATCTGGAAGCTCTACATATGTACACGTACACCCACTTTTATTATCAATTTTGTTCAACTGCTATTAATGATTGTTACAGTTATGACTCATACACTATACATGTGTACATGTACATGTATAGATGTAAATGTGTGGTAGATGCTGTCGGGCGGTTGCCCCATATACTGCAAATGAAACTTGTTGTCCTTTATTGAATGCTCTTCCTCTCCGACTTGGTACTCAGCTAATAAACCTCATCAAGATTTAGTTTTGCCAATTTAAATTTAAGCACTCCATGCTCAGTGCAACCCAAGAGCTTGTAAGAAAATATTCACAAGCTTAGGCCTACTCAACTTTATACATGTAGAGGGTAGAACCAATACCATCAAAATTACTAACAAGCTTGGCTTGCTAGGCTGGCCTTTCTAAATTGACTGCAGTCGGAAAAAGTTGTCCCATGTTGACAAAGATAACATTTACCTTTCAAAATCTTTTATCACATTTTTTTGATAAACACATTTTTTTCATGTAATTGTTAAGTACTATAGTGTTTGTATGATTTGGAAATAAATGTTGAATTGAATTGAATCAAATTGAAACCCTGACTGATTTCACTAAATATCAATGTTATCACATGTACCGGTACCGGTAGATCCCCCATTTTTTTCCAGCATGTTGTTTCCAGCTTTGTTTCCCAAACACGCCGATCTGCACCGAGTTTAAAAAATACTGGTAAAAAAGTGCTGATATGAGTTCATTTTTCCCTACCGGTAGTACGAGTAACTAGGACTCTACAAATCACAATTTTTAATATTTAATATTTGGAAATGAAGATCACCAGACCCTGACTACATGTGTTAAAAATGGCGATTAGTAGAGTCCAACAATGTAGTAACCCAGTCTTACATGTATTTTTCCCCCAAGTAATGTTAAGGGCTAGTGTATTAGTGGTGTTACATCAGCTCATGGGCGTAATCTCCGGAGGGACAATGGGGGGGGGGGAATATCCCCTCCACTTTTTCAATGGGTGGGCCACTGTATCATTGACATTCCCCCTCCCCCACCCCCCTTTTTGTGGTGAGAACCCAAAAATGCAGATTTTGAGGTTTTCTTTAAACTGTCCAAGAGTGCAAATAAAAACGGAGAACATACGGTACAGTACAATAGTTTTAGATGCACCTCTTCGATGTAAGAACCCTAACGATCCCCAACCAGCCAAACCCCAACACCAGACTTGGTTGGAATCTGTTAGGATGATACATGTATGAGTACCGGTATACTGCACTAGATGACTAGTAAACTGACTGTGCTTTACATGGGATAAGGCATACCACAAAATGACAAATAAACAGATCCAACTGTTTCTGTGCAGAGTTTCCTATATGGTGTTGGGCTTTGCAAGGATGAGGTTCCTACATGTAGTAAATAAACCATAAACATGATAAATAGGTGACCAAGGAACAAGATTAAGGAAATTTCAGAATTCAGGGCCGGGATGTCTGTGCTCGCCAGTGCCCAAATATTAAAAAGTGGTTTTTGTGCTGTTGCCTTCATATTGGATGGACTTTAGTTCCATTGAAAAAAAAAAAAAAAATTAAATCATTCAGAACCCTTAATCAAACAGAAAAGATGAAATCTTCAATAAAAATGAAACTTTAGGTTAATTTAACACAAAAGGAAAAAACCATATATTGTTTTCCTAGTTCTGGATCGCAATCATTATTCAGTCTGCTTTCGGCTCAACTAATCCACGAATTCAAGTGACACTGGTTAAAAAGCTTACCTTCAATGATGGAGATCTATACTACAAAATAATTTTCCAAATTTAAGCTCTTTTAATTTTGAATTTGCGACGTCAAAAGTACCAATGCCACTTTTCCTACTTCCGGATCGGTTAATCAGTTCCGAATCGATCCAAAACTACATCGCGCGAAAAAAAAATCATGCGAGAAAATAAATTGTTCAGCCATAACTAGGAAACATCTGGAACACGACTGTATTTTTTAGATTAAAAAAGAAATAATGAATTTTTCTCATGGAAGATTAAACCCAGGACCTCTACCAATCTTGACGGGTATCTATCCTATCAAGCTACCTAATCGTTAAAAAAATTCAAACCTCATTCGAAATTCCATTTCCAAATAAATTGCAAGCGTTAGTTTATGAGAAAACACTTGGAATTTTTTAGACCAAACCCAGGGTTTGTGCACAGGGTGTCAAGTGATGTCCACCTCTTTATGGAACTCTTTCCTTTATTTCAATTTAATAAATCCAACCTAATTTCGTAATTTGAACCTTCCTTTCCCGCACGTGCAGCATGCACACACGTACACACCCACCCCACGGTAAACTCAGTGTAATGTGTACCTGACAATGTCATCATCGTGCCCCAGGAAGAACTTCTGTGAGTGTTCCCGTACGTTGTACACAACTCCAACCCCAGCAACAAAATACACCACATCTTTACTGGCCGTGTAATACAGATTATTCCGACACTGGTGGCCCCTGTAGCCATACACCCACTCCAAACGAAGTGCTGAACCAGGTGCTGTCTTGTCTGCCATTTTGTACCGTCACTTTGTCGGTTTAGCGGGAAGAAAACATGGCCTAGGATTTATAGGAAATCACCACGGGCCAATTTTTCTGGAAAGTCCCCGCGCCCAAGAACGTGACCCAAGCTGACCCGCGGCCAGCCAATAGGATCGCTCGTTATATATTGCTGCTTCCCATCATTCCCCGCACGATGGCGACAGAAAATGAGCTCCCTGGTGAGTGGAAAATTTCACGACAAAACGATGATATTTTACAAAATTCCGGGGCTTTTGTACCATTTTTTAATATTATGTATTGATGAGGAATAGAATAAAGTCATTACTGATTAGATTGTATTAATGTAACGTGTACTATGGGCGTAGGAATGCTTTTGGGGTGGTCCGTGGAAACATTTTCTGTGTGTGGCGTGACGTTTGTGCACAGCGGGAGTTGCCCAGTTTCCGGACAAAGGGTTCATAGTTTGTCCTGTTGTATTGCTTTCGATTGTATATTAATTTGGAGAAAACGTTGAATCACATCACCCTTTTATTCACCGTATACAACTTTTATCATGATCATTCATTGCAAATACAACGGAAAAACACAAATTTTGGTTGTTAATTTTTGTTGTAAGAAAAAAACAATGGGAAAGAATGTTGCACCCTGACGCCACTTTTTTCACCACAAATTATTTTAAAGAAGGTCAGTCATCACAAAAATGTGGAAAAACATGAATCTGGGACTGAGAAACATTTCCAGTTTCGTTACAAAATACTTTTGAAAATGCATGCGACTCTTCAAAGTCTGAGAAGTGACATCTGGATACTTTCCAAACAATGGGGCTGTGGCCCCCCAAAAATTGGGTCCCATTGTTGAGCGCATAATTGGGCATATTTTACCACACAATGTATGTTTGAGCGCACAGATTTCAAGCCAATTCGAAATTTGTGAACTTTGCAAAGTTCACAACATTTGAATCAATTGGCTTGAAATGTGTGCGCTTAAACATAAATTGCATGAATAGTGTGGTACAATATGCCCAATTGTGCGTATTTCAAATTTGCAGGATAGAGCCTATGTCAACATTGTCCTCAACCATGTCGACACCATCACTGTCGAGTTGGCTAGGTTGGGTAGAATGTACCAACGTGTCACCACAATGTTTTCACCATATTATCTCAATGATGGCAAAGCATTGGGCGTCACCATGATGATCGTCTTATTCTTTCTTTACAGACATGACAGATATGTAACTTCCGGTACACGAAACCATCCAGCATATATTGGGTTTTGATTTGGCAAATTTTGCCAGATACATGTATGCTTCACACCACTAGTACTAAATACTCATAACAAACCCTCTTTTTGTTACTTCACAGGTCAAGGCATTCCGAGGATAGTTTTCCCTATTATGGGCTATACGTCTGCTGGATCTGTCACCATGAGTAATATCAGCAGCTCTGCACCTAACTTGTCTGTTGGTCATCCAGGCCAATTGATTGCCCAATCTGTTCCCTCTCATGCTGGACCAATGATTTCCCCTGGGCCTTACACTAACCAGTCAGAGTCAGGCATCTCACCTCAGCACAGAGGGGCTCCATTTGGGCCATTCACTGCCCCAGTCATGTCCCAGCCTTACCCATACACCAGCATATCAGGGTTATATCCTAACCCATCTCAGCCCAACGTGTCCCCGTTTCAGCCCAATACTTCTTCCATCAAGCCGCTTGGACTGGTGCACCCACCTCCTGCCCATCAAGTTGCTAACCCTCCTCAGACAAACACGAGCTCATCTCAACAGGTACCTGTTACCAGCACACCACCGGTTAACACTTCCTTGCAAGGTAACGGTACCCATCCACCATCTACTAATACTGTCTCCAACCCCAACATGGGTACCAGCGGAAGAAACACACCAGGAGCATCTAACTGTAGTGACCATCCCGAAGCCAAGGATACCCAGAGCACATGTACAAGTACCCCTCCGGTAACCAGCGGCCCACCTTTCTCCATCATTGCTTCTGCCCCTTCCGTGTCTGGTACCAACCCAAAGTCCAAGCCCAAGACAGCAGGTACTTCCTCCATGTCATCTTCTAATCCATCACTGGATGAGTTCACCGTGACAAAGCCGATAAACGAACGGCAGAATTTCACAAATGAGGTTGCGAGGCAGCTCTTTGACGAAGAATACAAGAAATTCAGCGGGGTCAATGAATTCAAGGCATATGTCTCTGAACAACAAAGATGGCGTTGGGACATCCACAACAATGTGACGACACTGGAGACGCGCGTTAAGAACTTGATATCAAACAAAAACAGTGGCGTGGCGCAGAATGTTGCCCGCTACAAGACAATCCCGACAAATGCAAAGAGTGAAGACGTCAAGCGATGTGAAGCTACTGTTGTGACTATGGATGCAATGGTCAACAGGGTTGCTACGTCCAGGACAGAGCTCTTGCATCGCAAGGGTAACCTACTCTCCCGGAATCTGAATGCTGAACCCTGCAACAATGAGTTCAAGTTCCTGGAGAACTGTTTTTCCCGTGTGGATCTGATGTACACCACCCTGATCACCAACAGGGCCTGCATCAACCAGACCCTGTCTCACCTGCGGCAGAATTTCTCCCAGGAGTCAGCTGCGGCAGCCGAAGTCCGGAGGCTGAAACGGCGCAGAAAGGAAAACCTGCGCAAGAAGCGGAAGAGGAAGGAGCAGACCTTAGAGAAGCGGGCCTGCGAGATCCTTCTGAAGATCACTCAGAATGGCGTACTGGAGAGGGTCTGGAGCAACCCGGAAGGTCAGAGGGTCTCAGCAAACGAACTGCTGCACAATCAACTGGATGCACTCAAATCAGTGAATGATATTGAAGCTTTACAGCTCATCATCTCCAGGGGATACTTGGATCCATCGGCTGTTGAAGTGGTGTCCAGGAAAATGATCCTTCTACAAAATGGGGTCAAATAATTACATCACATGATCCAAAGATGATGGTGCATTTGTCACACGCCTATATTCCACCTCAGTTTCTATAGATGCATATGTACATGTATAATGTTGAGCATGAGTCTCATCTAGGTATTGAGAAACTGAGATATTAAGATGAAAGGTATTGTTTTTTAAAAACTACAAAAGGTATTCTGATAAAAATATTCAAGTATGTCATAAATACACATGTTTTTCATACATTTATGTATGTACCCTTTGTAAAGTTGTCCTCCAACATTTCTACATATCTGGTAAACACTGTCATTTCAGGAAACTAGCAGACATTTAAGGAAGTGCACTTGTACTTCTGTGTTGAAGATTCACATACATAAATCCTTAAGCTGAATTTGTTTGGGAGGAGTGGTCTTAAGTTAAAAAAAACAACAAATGTATTCAACCTTTGCATTTTTGATGAATATATTAATTCTTGCCATATTTAAATTGTGTGCAGTGAATCTAGCAACTATACTGTTTGCAGAGTCATGTCCTCCTGTCCAGTTTATGCAGAAGGAATTACAAGTTTAAGTGTACAGATCATTTTTGTTAGTGTGTGTTTGGTTTTAGGTGAGTATGTACAGGGTTTTTGGCTATATTTTGAAAGCTGCATGGAATATAGGAACTAAGCAAGCAGACTGTTTTGTTGTTTCTGTAGATGTACTTTTTAGTTGTTTTAAACTCGTTTATAATTATGGATAATGCATAAAATCACTTTACGTGTATGTTTGCTCCAAGAAAGGCTAAGTGTTTTTACGGTGCCTGTCCGTCAAAAAAAAAAAATCACAGGCTTACTGGGGTGGGACTCGAACCTATAACCTTTTGCTGACTAGTGCAGACTGCTTTGTCATTAAACCACCAAGCATGCACATATTGGCCAGTCGGTATGAATATGTGGGTATGAAGAAGCTGGAAAATGTAAAACATGGGGGAAAATTACTTATAACATTAACTCACTAGGAACTGGCCCAAGTCCATCAAAATCCATCAATCACTGTGCTTCCAATACAAAGCTGTACATGACAGAATGGAATCCACCACTGACGCACTGGTTGACATTCATGGACTTGCTACACATGGCTTTTATCACAATAGCAGTACAGGAAGCTAGGCAAAATCAATCGGATACCCCTAGCACTGCTTCAGGCTATTAGGCCCAAGTCCATCATACTCCATCAATATTTAGTCGCGCCAGGCCTTCTGGACCAAGTCCCCCCAAATCCATCAAAATGGGGGATGGATTTTGATGGAGTTGGGGTGGTAAGGGTTAAGGGAATTTTGGGTTTAAAGTGATATTTATTGATGCACATGTGATGAAATTCAAACAGTTGTTACTACGCAAGAATAATTTTCTTAAATTGATTCTTGGATATCATGTGTCAAGATCATACAATGTGTAAATCAGGTGAAAAAGTTAGAGCAGATAATCTAGGGTGCTCAAAGTAAAATAGAACTGCTAATTGTTAAATGCGTTGTACAGTTGAAATTTAAGGAACGTATAAGTACGCAACATATATTTGTATGAGTTCAGATTGGCCAAGTTGAACTTAAATCAAGAGTATTTACAGGGTGCTGTGGAATGTTGCACGTCTACATGTAATTTGAAAATATATTATTTGCAGGTAGTCCAGAAATCATGGTTTTCAAGGTGCAATGCTGACCAAATTATAAAGAAGTTTCAGACATCAAAGTGAAAGACACATCATTCTCATATGTGTTTCGAAGCCAGCCTCATCAAGTACCTTGCAAACATGTGTAACTCAGTAAAATGGGAACTTTCCATTTTGAAGTAACATGTTTGAATTATGCTTTTGCCTCGAGAAACAACCTGAAAACGTCCGATGTTCATACATGGGAACATATTAGAGTGTCCAATTTCAAAGCATGGTACGTGTGTTAGATAATTCAAGCTCGACAACATTTTTGAAATGGTTCTTCTTCATAACTGGATTGAGCCATGTTCCAAAAGGAATTTTCAAAATGGAAAGAAAGTTCCCAAGTACATGTACTGGTGTTGCTTACTTGGCTAATAGTAATCCACAGTACCTGCATCAAAAGCTTGATTCATGCTGATTAATTCCAACCAAGTTTGTGCACATTGTGCCTTAAAGTGGAAACAGTAACAGGAGATATTCGTTCTGAATCTTAAGTTGTCTCTCTTCAATTCAACTATACATATGATGCTTTTCATTCTTGTATAAATGAACAATGTACATTCTATCCAGCGACTGTTTCCTTAGATATAATTTTTGCTATCCAGCTAGGTTTTTCCTAATTATGTATTTAACTCCTCTGAATCTAGTATCCATGCACAAAGTCTAACAATATACAACTGCTTCAAGTAGATGTAGAGCTGAAATCCTCATAAACAAGTCATTCACAGATAAACAAATCTTATTGGAAACTTTCAAAATTGTTTTTTTTTCTTCTCAAAAATCAAACAACACTGCCAGAATGTGTATTGTAGCTAATGGTAAAATGACTCTCTTTACTTATCTATAATAGTAACAATAACTTGCGTACTTGCTTTGTTAGCAATATGTACATGCCAAGAAAACTTCCAGGAAGCAGTCACCAAAAGTAGACCTCTTTTGACACTGTGGCTGCTTATCAAATTTTGCTTAGCAAATCAATTGCGTCTGCTTAGCAGTTTTATCATGTCAATAAAATCAGCCCTAGATTATCGACTTTGAGAAATAGATACCAAAATGTAAATATTAAAGATATATATGTCAGCAGTATTCCAAGTTTTTAAATGAGAATGGTGTAGTTTGAAACTAGTGTAAAACGTTACTTTGCATTTATGTTGATATAGTAAGGAGCATATTTAATACATTGTGTACTGTACATACATTTTTAAGGTTTTCTTTTTAGTATTAAGTAGATTTGCATCTCAAAATTACAGTTCATTTGTGGCAAATCTGAATCTGTTGACCCAACAGGGAAGGCTAGCCACCCGTTATGAAGTATTAAAGGTTTTAGGAATCCCAATAATGTGAATCAATTTATTAGATTCTTTGAAGGTATGATTGGCCTTTATCACAGGTCTTATACAGGTCACTGCATTTACGGCGACTGAAACTTTGTCCGAGTCATGGGCTCCATGCAAACAAGAGAGGGCGTTTTTTAGAGCTCTGTGGACGGGACACACCACAAGCGCGTGCACTGGTTCACGCGCATATGGCATGAAGTACACACGCCTAATTGTATTCGGAATGTGCGCAAACCCTTGGCGTCTTGTTGTGAGCGTCAGGTGTCTTCGGTGATGCGTTGTCTCTCCAAGTGGTCTCCCGACTCTCCCTTCCTTACCGTTGAGGGGGTACTTGCGCACGGAGCCCATACACATATTTTTGTTTTGGACCCTTTCATTTGAGACTGTGTTGAATGTATACACGGTATAAAAATACTACTACTAATAATAAAAATGGTATTTATAAAGCGCACGTATCCACCATCATTGGAACATTGGATGCAACATCATGTACAATTCCTAAGAGATAAATTAGATCTATTTTTCAGCGTTTCAACTTTAAACATTCTGTTTTTGAATCCTAGGTCCAAACCCATCATTGAAATCGATACACATTTCCGACCCCCCGTTTATCAATTCAGTATGAATTTGAGTTTGTGTGTGTTTGCCATGATAATGTACATATACCATAATAAATACAGTAGCTTCATGAAATGTTCATGTTTTGTCTGACTTACTGCACCATATGGCATGTGTCCTGAAATCGGTTTTTTCCCCCCAGACAAATATGCTTTGAACTATAAGAGGTAAAACTTGACATCTTGAAAACATGCCCCCTGCAATTTTAATTTTATTGTGATAAAGGCCATTATTTAAATATTAAAGTTTGATTGCATGTACAATCAATTCATATTTTTTTAGAGACTTTAAAATTGTGATGCTTTAGACTGAATTCCTTTGGACATTTTCCAAATGAAACCTCCCCAAATCCTTCAAAACCTTAGACCGAGCAAAAACATCGGAATAGCACATTCTTTTTACTTATAACTTTCACGAGGCATCAAGTAGTAAAGTAATACGGGCTGCTCCTGAAGACGGTCAGAGCATACTGACCGAAACGTCGGGTTTATACATGTACCTCTGGTTCTTTTCAGAACCATTCTCTTAGTTGAGAAATTATTCCCACATGGTGTTTCCGCAAACCTTTCATTATTTAGTATCTCCACCATGCAAAGCCTCAAATCTTACCTAATAATGGCTTGGCTGTCCCTTCCTCACTCTTACAAAATCCTCCAAAATGTTGAGTCTTGATGGATTTTGAAGGATCTGGAGGTTAGGCCAAGTAAAAAAAAAAAAAAAAGTTTCTCGTCCCCACCTGCTTCCTTTTTGTTTCTTAATCATACATTTGCAATAACTTTGTCTTTATATTTGTTTCCAGTAATATTGAAGCTATGTATGCAAGTTCAAAATGTGGTAAAAAGGTGGATGGCTCCTTTGGACACAAAAGTATAAACAAAAGAGTCGAGGAAATGGAGGAATCCATCGGCCTCTTGGAAAATCCACCATCTTCAGTAAACAAAAAAAAGGCCACATCCTTTTTAAAAGGTCCAGACGAGAAACCATTTCTCAGATGTGGCAAATCATGTTAGCATGACATAAAAGATTCATCTAACGTAACTCTGGATGACTTATTTTGTTGTTGGTTTTTTTTTTTTTTAATGAACTTAGTCAATCTAATAGTTTTCATTTTCTAAACCAGAATCAACTGAAGTGATAATAAAACAAAGAATGGTAAAAGGTGTCGTTGCTAATGACAAGAAATTTTTTGACTGAATTTTGTTAAGCTGATTTATACAAAGTGACATTCTAAACATAAGAAGAGCTTCATACCTTTAAAAAAAATTGTTTTGGCTAGTTTATATGATCAGGACCTGTAGAATTTGTATAAAATCTTTTACAGTATGGCTAGAAGTGTACATAATTAAAATGACGCGTAAATACCTCTATAGCTAACATTTGGCTATTGTTAATATATCCTTTGTCTATAAATTTAAATAATGTATGATTCATACATGGGTTGTTTTCAACTTTTTCAGTGTTTCCCGTGGCATTCTTACAATGAGGTTTACATGCTGTCTTGTTTTATTATTCTAAATATGAAAGAGATTTTACTATTGGGTTCTTCCCTTCTTTTTAATCTCATTTATCCAAAGAAAACTTCAAATTTCATGTTTGATGCCCTCTTAAAGGTACAGTCCATCATTTGTAACTTGTGCATTATGTTCGTTTGAAGCAACAAAAGTGGTGAAAATCTAAAGAATGGTGATAAACAATGAACCCCATGAAGTTTGCTCTGTGAATGCTGTATATTCCGAGAAAACAATATTCTAATATTTATGTTTTGAATTGGGCCTGAATTCAGCATCCGAGACACGTTCTCACTGAGCCGATTTGCAGCTACGCGATGTCGCGCGTCGTGTCAATGCTTGCGAGTGCTTCACCGAATTAAAAACGAACTAGTAACAGAAATTTCCAACGATGCATCTTTAGACGCATCATTGGTGAAGCCTTCTTTCATTGTTTTCTTCAAAATGACAGCTTGCCAGAAAGAATAATTTCACAGAGAGTTTACTCCCATTATCTTTAAACCAAGTATGCTTTTCAACAATAATTACGTCAGGTACTTTTTTGATAGCTGCAAATGATGGACTGTAGCTTTAATTTGGGAATAAGTGGGTTCACGTTACCATGTGTACTGTTGTCAGTAAAGATCACACTTAGTAATAGCAACCCCAAGTGTTGAACAATGGCAGATTGTAATAATTTTATGTTACATATGTAAAATGTTCATGTGTATTTATATAACATGCAGAGGCCACAACAAAAAGTATTTAGACCTGTTGTGTAATTTAGATGCTGTCATTTTGGTTTCCAGAGCTTGTGATTAATTTTTTTTTAATTAATCAGCTTTTTTACAAGGTTTTTATTTTTAGTTGAGATATAGGTTAAAGTAAGAATTTTTAAAGATTAAATAAATGTGATTCAAAGTCACAAATGCGGTATCGTGTTAACTAGCAGATTATTGTGTGTCTACATGTTCATTTTATTTGTTATTTAGATCTCTCTGAAATGACGTCGCTGCCTACAGTTTACCACGTGCATCGGCATTTTGGGAGTCGAATTTTCATGATAGTACATTTAGAACATTTTGCACACTGCGCATACACACACCTAAAGGTGTTGAACACGCAGTTGTAATTTTCCTACGAAGATGGCTGTCTTTGAGAAGGGTATATTGATCAAGATTTAGAATGTTTAAAGATGATGTCATAATGAAAGATTTGAACCAAGACAACATTAAAAAAACAATGGATTTTAGACATACCTCTTCAATTTGAGTTTATTACCATAAATTCAAGTCGAGATAGAAGTAGTGTTGAAAGTCAAGTCTTCAATACAAACCCATCACATGTGTGAATCACAAGTAACCAGGGATGAACAATAAACATAACCAAATAATATTTGGTCCCTATTCATTTCAATAATCCGTGACTTGACTTGGGACTGAATCTCGGACTTGTGAGGACTTGCGTTGGCCTCGACAACACTGGAGAGCAGATGACCTCCAGTGAAGAATTAGCCCATATTGCCGATTTCCTTTTAAAACTGTACAAGACAAAAAAATTGGCTGGTGAACCTTTGAAAGTTAAGCAGCTATGTACATGTCACTGGAAGAAATTGACTGGAACGGGGTTTGCACCTGCAATCTTCCGGATTGCCATTCCAGTGCTCTACCAACTGAGCTATCCAGCCCTATGTTGGCGGTTCCCCATTTTGTCATTGTCTTTGTTCAAGGTCCGCTAGTCAGATGCCTTAAACCTCTATGCCATGTAGCCAGGGATCACATCCAAGGTCCCGATGCTAGCAACATTAATTAGCCATGCTGCAAACCTGGGAAATAGCAAACTGGATCACTCAGAGAGGATACGGCTTTTATTACAAATTATTCGGATTCAAATTCGGTTCCACTTATCACGTAAATTATCGTTAACGCATTCATTCATTTGGCACTTGATGTCTGCTTGCCAGAAAGAAACAAGCCCAATTGACTACTTCAAACACTGATGACAAAATCACTTCAGTCTTGAAGACAGACTAGTCAAACGTAGATAATATTGCCCCAGGCAGCTTTGTGTCCATGGCAATGAACATTGTCTCACTGTTATCTATGCTTTGAGTTAACATCAGGGAGATGTCTTCTGTCTTTGGCTGAATTTTTCTTCCGTTTCCGGGCCAGATGCTTGGCCAGTTTCCCGCTCTGTTTCAGCTCCATGTAGCGATTTGCCAACTCCATTTTCTTCTGTTCAGCTGTTGGTGAAAGTATCAAGAAATGGTTCACTATCATAGCCTGCCTAAACAGTTAGGATTACAGGTGTACCATTACAGGGAAATGGACTCCAGTTGGACTCACGTCTGAGTCCGAGTCACAAAACTCTGCTCTCAAGGCACTATTATTACCCCTGCGCAGTTAGCCACTTAAGGAATTCCATCTCAGATAAAACAGCTCAGCTCCCTAGGGAGTAAACAGTTGGATAACGCTATTTCCGAGCAAATGGCTACTTGTAACCTAACATGCACCACCCTCATACTTATAATTTTACTCCTAGATGGAGAGAAACAAACTGGGACAAAATGTCTTGCTGCAGGACTGACGCACGGGATGGACCAGAACCCAAGATCTTTAAGAACTCCCAATATCATCTTAATAAGATACAGCCAGATTTTCCCAACCCACTGTCCTGCCTAAGCTACTTACATTTCTTGAGGAAGAACGGTTTCTTGCCCTGCTTCACCAACTCCTTCTCTTGTTTCTTGACTTCTCTCCCCGTCTCCTTCTCCCTCTGCTTCTTGATTCTTGCTTTCTCCTGTTGCTCCTGTTCAACAAGTCATTCGAGACCAGAGTTAAACAACTGTCAGTTTCCGACTAGTCCATCACAGGTCAAATCACACGTTCAGTCATAAGTAACAGGGATCAACAACAATAACAATGGACTGTTTTTGTTGCAGTTTATTTGGATAGGTTTTGACTTGACTTGAGACTGGTTGACTTGTGATACCTTTATGTGGACTTGTCTTCAGCTCTGTGATATGAGTGAACTACCGTAATTTTCGGAATATAGGCTGCGCAGAGTATAAGCCGCAGCACGCAAAAATCTGCAAATTAAAATTTGACGTCGGCATAACAGCCGCACTGGCATATAAGCCGCACCGACTGCAGCGGTTTCAATTTTGTAAGGCCTCCAAATTCTAAAGTCAAAAAGCTCTGGACCAGTTCCATTTGCACTACGAAAGCTATAAAAAGGGCCACAAAAGTTATATCAAAACATTTACGGTCGATACTTGTTAAAAAAAAAAAATCAAGAATTGCTGCCGGCTAGCCCGTCCGGTCCCCGGCCTAAAACTTATCGCATGGCCCGGCAGCCTGTGCTGGCGGGCGGCGAATGACAACATTTTCCCGCAGCACGTGAGAGAGTATGCAACCCACCATGTGTCGTCTGACTGGAGCGCTACAAATCTTGCTTTGTGGCAACAGATGCTGATTTGTTTTTGTCCTAAGAATAAATAGGTCCTTTTTTTACAACAAAACTTATCAAATTGTTGTGATTACTAACGAGTACTAACGTCAAAAAATCAATTTTCCGAAAACAATCAACACAATGCATGCATTTTTATGGACGAATCCATTAAATTTCGTAAGGGGTGATTTAGCCCCTGTTTTGCGTTTTACATCGTTTCTTGAATACATTTCCATATTGGTAATTATTGTTCCCAAGAAAGTACACCCCTTTATTACCACAAATGGTGTGGTCCACAAGTGTGCATATTGCATGGGCATGCATGCAGCACAAAATAATGTCACTTCGATGTGCCAACAAAGACAGCTTTCACTCATGCACGGCCGGCTGCCGGCCGCACCTTTGGTATACGTACCACTCAATACCTTTTCATGGGACGTGCTTCCACTGTTTGTTAATGACTTTCCGGTACCTCAAGTCCGGTTAACGATTGATAATAAATTACAGCAACAGATGTTTTCTTATACCAGTACATTAAATACACATTTAAATCTCATTTTTATTCTTCAAGGCTCGGCGTATAAGCCGCCCGGTGTATAAGCCGTAGTAAACATTTTCATGGGCAAAATCAATGTATAAGCCGCGCCTTATTTTCCGAAAATTACGGTACACCCTCTGTGACTTAAATCTGAATGACATCCGAAACGACAACTTGTCAAACGTGTGACTTTCAATGAACCAGTTTAGAATTCCGACTGCATATTCGCACATCAAAAGTTGACAATTTTCCTTATTAAAAAAAGAATCTGCATGATGCGTGAAAAATTGCGAGTTTGATCACCATTGCCCCATAGGACGTATATCCATTATCTGGTATATTTATCCTAAACTGAAACTGTTGATATGCCACTGCACAACTGGAATTCCAAACAGGCTTTTGTTACACGATAAGAGCGTGGTGGAGCAGTTTTAAACGTCTGGTTTAAAACTGGTTAAGCCCAAGTCACACAGTCATGGTTGGGGCTACGAATATCCACGGTTAACCAAGAATCAATCAATCACGATGAACCGTCAAGATTCCTGGAGAAATCGACTTTCTAAGAATGCATTTCGGTTTCAGGACGGTTAGACACGACTGTCCTAAGGTTTCTCTACGAATACACCACGGTTTATCAAGAATACAGACGGATTGTTGAAGAATATCGACGGTATTACCAAGAAAAATGATGTTAACGCCACGGTTGTTTGCGATTGGGCCATGACCAAGGTTCTCCTACGGAATGTTCGTAGTACAACCTTTAATAGCAGAACCCTAGCACATCCGGGCATATCCGTTGGACATTCATAGCGAATTCATAGATACCGGTATTTCTACCACGAATGAGCTACAAATCTCTAAGAATATGCACGAATAGCCACGAATAACACATACATGTACGAATAAATACTGTTGTCCTACGGGTGTCCCACGGCTGCACTACGGATTAATTTTCATGACGGTTCACCACAGCGGTTAAACAGCGGTTTAGGATCACCCACATGACGGGCTCTCGACCAATAGGAATGGGAAAGCTGTCTCAGGTATTAATAAATACAAAGTAACTGAGTGTTACTGAATAGACTAGAGTTACTCAAGGTACTGACCATTCTTTGTAATAATCTCTGTAGTTCCACCTTCCTCTGCTCAGTCTTAGCCTTCTTGAGTTCTTTCTTCACTTCCTAGTGGAAAAGGAGTTACCGTAAACAAAATAAGAGTGTCAGCATGGCACATTGTCAGAAAACATTAATTCTTGTCAAAGTGGGCAGTCATTCCACTGTTTAGTCACCCAAACTTGAAAATATCCCCCTGGCTAAGCTGCAACCCAAAACATAGTAATAAAACAAACAAACAAACAAACAAAAAACCAAAATAATTTACAATTGGACAAAAACTGTAAATGACCATCAATCCAGTGTCATGGCCTAGCGGTTAAAAATACCGGACTCATGCTCTGGTGTTTCAGAGGCAACAGTGGCGTGGGTTCGAGCCCGCCGGGTGGACACTTGTGCCCTTGAGCATGGCACTTAACCATTATTGCTTCGTCCTTCGGATGGGACGTAAAGCCGTAGGTCCCGTGTGTTGTGTAATAACCAATGCACGTAAAAGAACCCATTGACACTTATCGCTAAAAGAAGGGGTTCGCCCTGGTGTTTCTGGCCTCCTGTTAAAACTCCCCTGCGGAGTATTTAGGTGAAGAACCAACCAAGTACAAGTACCAATCAAACAAATATATGAATAATTCACGTCTTGAAAACACAATGCAATTATTAAAAAGTACGAATAAAAGACTGAATTCCCGTTAAATTCTGGTTGTGTTAATGTGAAATATGTTGACAAAAAGCCGTAACCAGGCACACTTGAAATTTATTAAAATTGATATCAAGGATAAGAACCCCTGAGACCCTCTGATCACGAGTCACAAACCCTGACCTCCAGGCCATATGATCCTTAGTACCCATCTAGGCAGAGTAAAGTAAACTAAAGTCTAAATTCATCACAGCCACTTTAGTCCTAATCTTCGTCCAAGAGTAGGTTTGGATGTTGTTCTCCCAATACCTGGCACGCTCTGTCAAACCGCAGCAGCAGTAGAGGATGCCATCAACAAGTGAATCAAATCAAGTCTTTGGAACGTTTGGCACCAGGGCACAAGAAATTCCAAACAAATCTCATGGATCAAATTGGCTTGAATAGATGCGAGTGTGAGGCAAGCTTGGAGTCCCTTTGTTTCGTGTGCCAGAGTACCCAAGCTTGATCAAGCTTGCTCAAGATTGGGATCAGATGTGTTAGGACAACAAAATCCACATCTAGTTTTGGACCGAGACTTCCTAAGCCCTTGTTCAGATGGTCTTAGATTGTCATTACCCTTTTCTCTCGACTGTACACCCCATCCAGGAACGAGTAGCTGGATTCGAAGGCCTGCTCATTGAACTTTCCTGAAAGGTCATCAAAACGTGGATCCCTTCTCACCTAACGCAGAATTTATTAAACAAAAAACAAAATCAGTTAGGCTTTGCACTCCATGCCCAACTACTCCCTAAATTGATAACAAAGAGAGAGTCTGGGACTTGTGAATGCATTGTCGTCACCCGCCTGGGTATGCTACTGGTATGTGCACAGTCAGAATGTGCTCAGTCAGGCTATTCTCAAAATGGGTCACACTCCCACTGGAACATTTCTAGCATTCAGTTTCTAAAGACCAATCAGAACCAAGCAAAACATAGCAAACACTTGCAATGCTGCCTTATTGTTATTATTATTTATTATTATTATTTATTCGGCAAAAATACAAGATACAAGAAGTAATCCACAAAAGTAAACAAAACTTAACAAAAACAATCCAATCCAAGTTGGCCAGGATTGACAAAAGTACAATGAAACAATGTGACTCGAAAGCCTGTCAATCCTTAAAAGAATACCATCTACAAAAAAATTATCCCCCCCCCAAAAAAAATGAAGAAATATCGTACTGTCTGCTTAACTGGGACGGCTTTTCTGAATCTTGATACAGGAACCTTGGAGGACACTTCCTGAGGTCTACAATGAGAAAAAGTACAATTAAATGCACATAAAATGCCTTTGTGACGAGTTTTATACTTAAGTTTACAGACTTAATGCGTACAGTATTTCACCTGTTTTTGTTAGCTCGTTTGAACTTCTTTCTCCTGGCGTCTTGCTCTGTGGATGTGTTTCTAGGAGTTCCTCTGCTACCACCAAACAATGCTTTATCATAACTGTAAAACACGAACAAGACATCTACAGACATGAGAACGAGTCAAATTCATACTTTTTCTTCCTTCAAGTTACGCTTCCCAGGCTCTACAACAGATTCAATTTTTTTCCTGTTAATAAATGTTCAACTTGTATGTTTTATTCCAACCAAAAATCCTCCGTTTTTCCCTTTAAGGTTGGAGGTCTGAAACCCTCTCTCTCAAAAAAAAAGGTTTTTATTATGGGTGCAAACAGATCCCCTTTGCGAGCGAACTGGCTCCTGGACTATACATTATCAATACTGATTGTGGGGCGGGAACCAGCCTACCCCACGAATTATTGTCTGGCAGCCAATAATTCAAAAGTTGTTAAAGGGAAAATACAACATTTGCAAACATCGAAAAATAAAACTACCAAGTTGTTACAAAATACCTTACTAGGATGTTGGTAAATGACAGTCTAAAGCATCCTGTAATATTATGGCACCTGGTGTGAAGTCATTTTCAAGAAAACTGGTACTTTTGTATACATTTCCAACGGTGGTCAGCCGACCACCGTTGGAAAAACCTAACTATTTTTCAACTACTGCTCCAAATTTACCATTTTTTTTCAGTCCATATGTTGTTTGCTATTGGTTCCATGAGTCATGAACGGGTGGAGGTCAGCTAGACCGGTTCCCTTACCTTACAATTTTCCGGCATTTTTTTTTATCCATTTGATCTTTAGTGGAGTCAGGGAACCAGACTATTTGAACATTTTTGTTTTTCTTGGTTTTTCCAGCATTTTCGAACACAAAACTTCAAACATGTCAGTGTAACAATATTTTGTTCTATTATACTAACCCCACAAATAGTTCATTTCTGAAAATTACAGCAAAAGCCACTGATGTACACTCCCTTTAAGTAATAATTCAATAACTAAACACGGGCGATTTTTTTGGGTCTGTGTCTCATTCAAAAGTGAATAAGTTTGTATTGCTAGAAAAATAGCAATTTAGAAAAGGAATCTATTTTGGGGGAAATAGCACGGGAATGTAGCTTTAAGATACTTTATCTTCTTGAATCAATTCTTAAGATTCAATGATGCAGCAGTTACTTACACTTTGGAGCCTACTCTCTCTTGCAACTTCTGAAGATCTTCAAAAGGAACCTCCGAGAGTTCTGTAATGAATTGGAAACATTCAATGAGACATCTGTGATCATTTCAGGTGTACAGCATAGCGGATAACTGTCTTGCCATTTCACAAAATGACATTGTGAACATTAATGCCTGTTTTCTCTCAAAAATTCTGTTACAGTTATAGTTCTTTCAGTAAAGTCAGACTATTCCATTTCAGAGGGTGAAATAAATAAACTGCATAGATTATCAAATTCAAGCTTTCACAAGTACTTGGAATGTAATAATAATAATAATAATAGTGGGTATTTATAAAGCGCACGTATCCACCAGGACTGGTGCTCAAGGCGCTACATCATTATTACCCCTGCTCAATGGGCACATGAAACATTCCAAATACCATCTCAGCTCCCTGGGGAGTATACAGCTCAATGCAGCCTGTTAGGCGCAAGGAAGCTAATTCAATCACAATAACCATCTCTGCCCTCACAGGTACCCATTTACTCCTGGGTGGAGAGAAGCAATGAGTGACAAAGTGCCTTGCCCAAGGGCACACGCACCATGACCCGGGGCTGGACTCGAACCCACAACCTGCAGCTTTACCCGCAGACCACGAATCTAATGCCCTCAACCACTTCGGTACAAAATTTGACTGAGAACACCTTTTTTTGGTTCATACAAACTACAAAGCGAAATAACATACCTTTTCTCATGACATCCTTGGAAAAGGAAACAGTGAAAACGCCGCCGCAAAATCATGCGTTGGGGAAGAATTAGGCGCACGGATGAATATGCAATGACAAGAAAAGTCATGGTTACTATTACAAACAAGTAGGATAAACACAACGACAACACAAAAACTGATTCATTCAAAACAGCAAATGACCTTCAATTTGCATATATAGTGAAATTAACCCCACCAATACTTTAAACTGACCTTCCTAAGTTCTGCAGGAATGTGCATGAATATGTGCAATCTGGTCTCTATCCTCACAGGCAATTACAGTAAAGTGTCTTGCCCAAGAACACCTGCACCATGTTCCTGTTTGGGTTTGAAATTGTGTACAACACGAGTCGGACACGTTACCATTGGACTATAGCACTCTATAGCTGCTCCATCTGAGCTTACCAGATCGGTTGGACAGGATCCTGCTATATTACATGACTGCATGAACCTTTTCCTGCACAATCGACGGATCACAAGAGTTGTGCACCGTGCAGTCTGTAGATAGACGGCACAAACTTTATCTCACACGGTCATGAATGCTTATAACAAGATGCCGTGCTAATGTTACGCCCCAACTATGACATTGTTATATGGCAACTATAGTTAGGAATTCCCCAACTAGTGTTGGGACTGTTCCAACAATGGTTCAGACTGTCCAAAGTATAGTTGGGACCATTGCCAAAGTTGGGCGTAACATTAACAAAATGAGCCTAAGGCAGATCAACCAAATCATCTTTCTATATCCTCACCAGTGAGTCATCTTCATCTTCACTTTCTTGAACGTCTTTCTCCTCAGACTCTGATGAAGATGGTTCTTCTTTGGACTTCATCATCATTCAGAAAAAGTACCTGAAGAAAACATAGCACAGATGCTATCAACTGGGCGTTTTGGGACAGAGAGGATTGAGGGTAGCTAGGGAATTTGGGTGGAGCCGAAGGTTGGAAACAGTTAGGGGTGTCGGGTGGGGGAGTGGTTGTGGTGGAGATGTTTCTCTTTTTCTTTGGGGGGGGGGGGGGGGGGGGGGGGCTGCATTAGGGGTGTGGACAGCGGATGTGTATTATGGGCAATTGATAAAAGATGGATCCGCCGGATCTAGTCAAACCTTCCCGGATTCTCCATAGAAAATGTTACTCCTTCAATCGAATGGATGAAATTGCATTCTAACATCGCCAATTGCATTACACATGAACAGGTTGAATAATAATGATTGATAAACAAAATAACAAAGTATTTAATAATCGTTGTTAATTGGCATGATTGGCGTAACTCAAGTTTGAACGAATAATTCCCAAGTGAGCTGCAAAGTCCCAGTTTGTCAATGAAAGACGGGATGGGAAGTAGCCTCATAAATGTGGCTTAAAGGTAGAGTCCATCATTTGTAATTTGTGCATTTTGTTCGTTTGAAGCAACAAAAGAGTTCAAAATCTAATGAAGGATACTGAGCAACTAACCTGATGAAGTTTCAGCTAAGCTTCAGCTGTACATTCCGAGAAAAACAGCATTCTAAGATCTCAATTTCAAATCAAAAGTTGCTGAATCATGTTTTGAATTGTTTTGAATTGCAACTATACGCACTGATCCGACGAATTATAACAACCGCGCGCGCGTGTGCGTCGTTCGAATACTTGTGCGCGCTGCGCTGAATAACAAAACGAACTACTAATTTAAATTTTCCTACGGTGCTTCTTAAGAATCACCGTTGGAAATGCCTTCTTTCGTTGATTACTTCAAAATGACAGCTTCCCAGAAAGAATAATTTCACAGGGAGTTTAGTCTCCTTACTATCTTTCAACCAAGTTAGTTTTTCAACAATAATTACGCCAGTTACTTTTCGGATGGCTGCAAATGATGGACTCTACCTTTAAGTATGGACTTCCTCCGTACTAGTATTACCTCACAACAATGATACAAAAATGTGCGGAAAGGTCTGTTGATAGGGTAGGAGCAAATCAAATCAAGATCGGAACAATTTTGTCACTTGATAATCACCCACATCATTACTGAACTGCTTATTCCGCACCTTCAGAGACCTGTCTATTTTAGTTATCCTTTTTAGTTAAACATTTTAGTGGTTAAGTGCATGCAGCTGGAATGTCGCTCGCATCTTGTTGCAAAACACGGAGTGCCATATTGACCGTGCGATACAGACCATGCGATACATCAATAATTATTTTGTTGATGTCGAGTGCAATTTGAGTCCCCCCTCCCTGCAAGTTCAAACTTGCGCACACATCTTGCGCATGCAAGTTGAAACTTGCGCAAGGGCCTAAAGTAATAAATTAAAGTACTTAATTAAATTAGTAATGCGTTCATTAATTTCTTTTTCAAATTATGCATTTTTGAAGGGTACACATCGCTTGAAATGTCATGCAAAGTATTTTTAAAAACAAAATTAATTAATTGCTAAATTAATTAAATTAGTATTTTTTGAAGAATAAGTACTTTTTTAATTGTAAAGTACATATAATGTAATTGAAAGCATTTTTAAAATAATGTAAATAATTACTATAAGGCCAAAAAAAAAAAAGTCGGTCTCTGGTCAGCGCGAGCGTCGATTTTAATCATGCGCGTCGATCTTTTTTTTCCCAAAATGTTCCGCGGTAGCTCCAACAGCGCCCTCTATTTACGCACCTCCTCAATTTTTTTTATTTACCAAAGAGCACCAAGGAATGGGAAATTGCACCAAAGCAAATGATCGAAAGCACCAAGGCAAATTATGGAGGACACCAATGTACATGAGGACACCAAAAAAGCAAAATAGTACCCACCTTGTCTGCACAATCCAAGCTTGAAGAAAAAAAAAAAAAAAAGCAAAAAAAAAAAAAAAAAAGCTGCGTGGCCGCGTCAATTCCGGAACTTTGGTCTGACCAGAGACTGATTATATTTTTTTGGGCCTAATGTCGAAACTTGAACAATTGAAGGGATCATAATCATTCTTTTTACGTTACCCACGGGTTAAACCTAGGAAATTATGATTTATTTACATTCAAGAATATGAATAAAATGCTAATTTGTTTTACAAGGAAAAAAACTTGAAGATGGTCTCCATTATTGAACAACTTCAGTACACTTTCCAAGCAATCGCCCCTAGTACAGTGTGCTAATTGATTGCTTGCCTGGTCCCCTCCCAGTCCCCGCCCCCTAAAAAAACTTCTCTGATTTAAGCACTGCTAAACCTCAATGTTTCTTTTCATTGACGCTAATTGAATTCCCCTTTTTTATTTATTTCTTTGTTCATTAATTTATTCTATTATTTATTTATTTATTTATTTATTTCTCCATGTCCTCGTAGTTTGAACATTTTTTTTCTTCATCAATGAAAATCCCGCCTGCAAGGTTCTCAAATTGCAATCGCCTTTGCACAAGTTGTAACGTGCGCACGCAAATTAAAATGGCGCAGTGTAATTTGCATGCTTCAGGAACAATTATTTTATAATTCATATTAATGTTTACATGCTCTAACTTAAAACACGCTATGCATATAAAACGGAAATTATTTTAAAAAGTAAATAAATTGACTAATGATTTAATTAATTAATTAAATTTATTAATTTAATTAATTGATTCGACTTAATGAATAAATATGTTGAACATATTAAACAAAAATCCTAATGAGCAATAAACAATTAATTATACACATCATGATGCAAAGTGCATAAATAGTTCCCATTTACCACCCCTTCTCTACACAGTCAACCTAATTACCATAATGCTGTTAATAAAATGCTTCAAAAAAGGCATTTAGGCATTGTCTCATGTAGCCCCATAAATGTGGCCTATTTACTGGACTGCCTCCGTAAACATAGGCCACACATCCACATGTACAAAAAACGTGTCGACTTTGCCAAATTTTGATTTTCACATTTAGGCTTACTTTTTACGTTTTTTTTGCTTTAGAAGCATTCTCACCCTCTATATAGGCTAATCAGAAAGTGCTGCCTTTTTCAGATGTCCATTTTTCGTGAAATTTCCAGATTCATTTGCACACGTTTGCGTATCAAAATTTCAACATGAAATTTCACAAAAATTAAACATCTGAAAAAGGCAGCACTTTCTGATTAGCCTATATAGAGGGTGAGAATGCTTCTAAAGCAAAAAAAATCTACAAAGTAAGCCTCAATGTGAAAATCAAAATTTGGCAAAGTCGACACGTTTTTTGTACATGTGGATGTGTGGCCTATGTTTACGGAGGCAGTCCAGTAAATAGGCCACATTTATGGGGCTAGGTCTCACGAAGCTAAACTTGCGCCGGGGACTCAAATTGCGCTCGACATTGCCATGCCATGATGGATCAACCAGTCATGGCATGGCAACAAAATAATTAAATTTTAATTACAAGAACTTAACAAAATTGTAAATCTTCCAACACTTTGTAAACAAACAGCAATGTGTGTATTCCCCCCCCCCCAACATTTCTTGATCTCACCTGTATGTATGTACTCACCTACAAGTTTCGAACAAACACCACTTGCACTCGTGTTTTTATTTTACACGCACATGTATTTGCTGCCCTCTTGTGAAATATTTTGGCCAGGTTAGAAGTTAAAAATATACCGCCCTCGTGTGGTCAAATCTTACCAAGCATTTTCTGAACGTGTTTGCCGCCCTCTTTTAGAAATGTTTTAATTCGAACATTAATCAATTAATCATAATCGATTGATTTTCGTTGGTTTTCGCCCTCTTGAGTTTGTAATTTACTAGGTTTTGTTTTGTGCATGTTTTGCGACTTCTGAAAAGGTTTTGGCGACCTGAAGTGCACAGTGGGCCAAAAAAACCTCCACATTAAAAAAATAAATTGTATTATTCTGTAAAAATCAGATCTCCCTCCCCCCGATTGTTATTTTGTAACCAGGCTCAATTCCATCCAGAATCACACATGGATGGAGAAACTGACTCTATATAAGAATAGGACTGTGTCATAAATCAGTTTTTGTAGAGTGAAACATATTACACTGAAAACATATACCTACATTTTTTACTTAATTACTCACTGAGCAAAATGAACAAATACAGAACAAAATTTAATACTAAAAATGCCAAGAAATTTGCTGTGTGACTTTATTTTTAAAACCAAAATTGATAAATACCTTTGCTTACTGCAAAATTTAATACCTGTTGAAATATACTTTTGGTACGTACTAGAAGTAGATTCACTTAAATTTGATTACTCAATTGCCTCAACTGTCCTGCATAGTTCACTACACACAATCATTTATAAATATTAATTTCTAAATATTTCTCAGCCTTTTTAACTTTCCAACTCTTTAAAATCAGCTTAAATCTTTGTTCACATTAACAGACAGAAACTATGTATAAGTTAATGCTTCATGTATATGTACCTTTAAAATGCTTAATCAAAACTGCATACATGTATTAAAAAAATTGGCAGCATTTCCAATAAGTTTAAACCCAACTAATTCCATGTTTACAAACAGCACACGTATCATCTATTCGGATTGGCTAAAAGTTAACCATAATTGTGCGGTTATTAGTTAACACTGAATTAATGGTGATCTCCAACATAATAACAAAAATTGATACCACTTGTCTAATCATATTTTGTGCATGCTCACAGAGGTAGTGACTTGAAGACATCAACTTTGTATGGATCAACTGGCTGCTATATCCACGTAAAAAAAGTAAACAAGTCAATAAAACAATAAATATTAAATAGTTTGACTTTTCTTACTGCTTCTATCTTGATCTGTATAGGTGAGTTAAAAGACTGGTCTGTCAGATGTATATGAATGAAGAAAGTATGGAGCTGTGTCTGGAAGAAAGACTAAAATCCACTGACCAATGGAGAAATCCATGAGATGGAAATGACACCAACCTTGTGATCATGACTTGCTACAAAACATAGCATCAAATTGCACAGAAGTACAAGCATAGTTTCTTGATATTGAAAGGGTAGGTCAATCAAACGATCCACACCCATCATAGCGACAGTAAACTGATTCTTGACATAAATGTTCTTGCCAGCCAGGTGTAGGGAGTCGTCGTTATCAGCCACAGGTACATCTCATAGACGCTGATAGCCAGAAGTCTGGCTTGCTGGCGCAGCATGACCTGTGTGCGACACACCCAACCGTTGCACAGTCTGCGGTCATGCTCAGCCAAGGCACGCACACAGCAGCGAGACATGTTGATGAAGGAGCTGGCACTCTTGCGAATCTTGAGAGAGAACTCGATGCCACGGAGCAGATCATTCGTCTTGAGGAGGAGTAGCATCTGTCGTGGGATGCTGTTCAAGATGCTGGAGATCTGAGGGATGTACATGGCTACATTCTTCTGGATTTCTTCATCCTGGTTTGGAAAAAAGAAATGTCTTAGGCAATACAAATAAAAGTTTTGATTTTGTGCAAGACCTGAAGGGCTAAACTATTGTCTTCTGACTGACGGTCTTGAGCAAGACACTGGACCTGCAGTTGGGTGACTTGAGATTGACTTGTCACGACCAGAGGTAAATTGATCTATCAAAATAGACCAGCGGGCTACTGATTTTTTTTTACTAACATTAAGAAGTGATTAGAATCTAGGATACAATATCTCAAACAGTGGCTTCTGCAGGAAAGTTCCTTAAAAACGAACAATGTTTCAGAAGGCTTCAAAGTTCTTTTTTTACAGTTTTTGTCATGGCGTGAGCACAAGACTAAAGAACAGATTTACATTTAAGAGACATTCGACCTATCTTTGCTATTGTTGCACAACGACGAGTTTGCTTTGCTGGCCACTGCTACCATGCTGTAGACCAGGTGATATCTGATGTATTATGTTGGAGACTTCCATGCCCTATAGGGGACGAAGACCCTACTACATTGATGTGATTGGCAGAGACACCCAATGTGAAATGGAAGACCTTCCGTACATAATGAGGGATAAAAACACCTGGCGTGGCGTTGTGAACGGGATCTCGGTTGCGACCGCTAGATGATGATGATTTTATAGTAGTCCATCACAAGTCAATCACAAATCTTTCAGTCCCAAGTCAAGTCACAAGCTATTCAAATGAACTGTGACAAAAGCATTCCTTTGTTATTGTTCATCCCCTACTACTTGTAACCAGACTTGTGACATACTTGTAATTATGACCAGACTTGTGACGGACTCATCTACAACAGCCTTTACTCCTCACCTCTTCACTAGACGGAGCGACTCTGTCGATTCCTGTGGCGACAGAATCCCAACTCCTGGCCGTCAACATGCAAGCAAACAAGGCGTACATGTCCCCGGCCCCTAATGCTTCACTGTATGTCTTGATTCCCTCAATGTCTGCTGCTATAATGGACTGCCAGAAATTGGCATAATTCATCCGAAACTCATCTGTTAACGTCTGTGAACGAAGTAACATGCATACAATTAATAACGGTAACAAACTGGCAGATTACTAGAAAACACTAAGATAGAAATGTGGGGTGCTGTGGTTTTCCAGTAATGTGGTATTTTGGGGGAACTCCTTTGTCTACAAGCATGCAAATAGGAAGTACATGTAACAAAAATACAGGCTTTACAGTATTTTCTCAATATTTAACGGCATAAGTTTGAAAGGACAAATTAGGAAATCAGCTGATCCGAGGATAAGCTGCATGCCTGCATCTAGCTCTCCATCTCCAATATTTCCTGGGGCTATCAATATGACCGAGCAAAATCTCAAAAATTTTTCAAAAATTTCAAAAATATTGTACTATTCTAACAAGTCCTTGAAAGTTTAGTTTACCACTTTAATTTTTATTCTTGAAATGAAATTTGGTCTAAAATAAACCTGTCAATGGCAGTAAGAGCAATAATGGTTTGCCTCTATGGGCCTATATTTTTGTATATATTTCTTCATCTTTTTAACTGAAATTAGTTTTACTCATTAAATTCTTGCAATTTAATTTTGTATGAGAATTCTTATACAGACTCCATTAAAAAGATGTGCATATTTGTAAACCAAACTCTAAGTTTTTGTTTTTATACAGATGGTATTTTTTAACAATTCAGAATTTATTTAACAATTTTCACTTTATTCACTTTTAAGTCTGAACATTTTTTATCTTATTATAGAATTAATTTTGTAAATCCATTTGTAATTTGGCGAAACAGTCAGATTATATTTCTTGTAGGCACTGTGACAGTCAAACTCGGTTAATGCTTTGTATTAGCCAAGTCTTCCTAAGTAGAACACATAAAAACCAACCTGGTAAAGCCCATGATCCAGCAGGACAATTTCAGGATGACTGTTGGAAGTCTTTCTAACCAGCACGTTGCCTGGATGGGGATCACAGTGCACAAAGCCATGAACAAAGATCATCTCACTGTACATCTTGCCTAGAGTTTGCGTCACCTGTCAAACAGGAAGAATAACAAAACCTCATCACGCATGGTGCAAGTTCAGTCAAGGACAACTGGTGATGTAACTGCCTAGGGGCCTTATAGTCCATCACAAGTCAATCACAAGTCCATCACAAGTCCATCACAAGTCCATCACAAGTCCATCGCAAGCCAATCGCAAGTCAATCACAAGTCAATTACAAGTCAACCACGAGTCAATCACGAGTCCATCACAAGTCAATCACAAGTCCATCACAAGTCCATCACAAGTTCATCACAAGTCCATCACAAGTCCATCACAAGTCAATCACAAGTCCATCACAAGTCAATCAAAAGTCCATCACAAGTCAATCACAAGTTCATCACAAGTCAATCACAAGTCAATCACAAGTCAATCACAAACCAATCGCAAGTCAATCAAAAGTCCATCGCTAGCCAATCGCAAGTCAATCACAAGTCCATCACAAGTCCATCACAAGTCTATCACAAGTCCATCACAAGCCAATCGCAAGTCAATTCCAAGTCAATCACAAGTCAATCACAAGTCAATCACAAGTCAACCACGAGTCAATCACGAGTCAATCACGAGTCAATCACAAGTCAATCACAAGCCATCACAAGTCCATCACAAGTCAATCACAAGTCAATCACAATTCAACCACAAGTCAAACACAAGTCCATCACAAGTCCATCACAAGTCAAACACAAGTCCATCACAAGTCAAACACAGTCAATCACAAGTCAAACACACATCCATCACAAGTCTATCAAAAGTCCATCACAAGTCAATCACAAGTCCATCACAAGCCAATCACAAGTCAATCACAAGTCAATCACAATTCAACCACAAGTCAAACACAAGTCCATCACAAGTCAATCATAAGTCAAACACAAGTCAATTACAAGTTGTCCGTTCCTACATCCAGGCACAATTTATATATATTCAGATTAGCTGTTAAAGACATTCCTTTGTTACTGTTCATGCCATGTTATCTTGTGACTGGACCTATATTGAGCAGTCTTGTGGCTCAAACACTGCTTTTAGTAGTACAATCCACCAGAACCAACAAAATCAATTTTGACCAATCTGGCGACCACCACGAGCCATTTGGATTGTTCCATGTTGTCTGACGCTCATTATCTTACCCACAATGCCTCACCTTATTAACGTCGATGTCATGTTGTTTCATATATTTAGCGTCGTCCACACGTCCTCCTTGACAGTATTCCATTGTAAGCACTCTGGTCGTGGACAGATCCCAATAGACTTTGGGAACCTGAGAACAATATAAATGTAACACAGCCTCATCATCAACCCATTAGTTGTAGCTGAAGAGGTTTCCACGATGCAGGCACAATTTAAGTTTCCGCTTAAATTTCAATTGCTGATATTTAAGTTATAATCCAAATGTTAAAATACAATGTATCTAGAAACAGTCTCAGTCTCTTGTAACCAGACAGTACACACTGTTCGAAACGCTGAGTTACGAAACTGGTTCGTTTCAGGACCACACAGTCACACAAGAGATTTGACTACATGGTGCTACTGCAAACCCCATCTCTTGAGAAACACACATCCTTTGTTCTTCGATCTTTTTGACCAATTTTTGTTAACGTTTTATAGCTCAGAGCCAATTCACCGTCATTTATAAAAAAAAAAAAAGTTTTAACTTATCAGGGAGTTGATATGAAGCAACAGATTCTACTAAGCACAAGAAATACTTGCTTAACAAATAAAGCCTACCCTTAAAAACAACACATCTCTTGTGACTGTTTCTCGACCGAGTTTTACTGACCACATAAACATTCGGAGCAATATTTTCTGGTTGGAGCAGCTCCATGACACCCAGTCCAAGCCTATCCCTGCTCCTACACAACTGTGCAAGACAAACGTTTAAAGCCCCTTCACATATCCAAATTCATATCTCTGTGTTGGACCTTGGTCACACCCCTACATGTATGAAATGTCACCTCGGTAGGAACCAGTGTTTAAAGGCTCTATACCCGGGAAAAGAATCCAAATCCACAGCCAACACGTCTACAATCTAATGCAAGCATGAACACTATAGCTTGTCAACCTGCGTTGGAATGGACCAGCTCCACTCACGGTGGGCCCAATGTTGATTTCAACACGGGTAGGCAATAGACTAGACTGAAACGTCCTTTAACCCCATGGGCCCGGGAAGCGGTCATGGCCGCGGCCGCTAATCCTCATTGGAATGCAGTTGCCAGCTGTGGTATGCTGTGGCACACAGCTAGTGGGTAGTTCCACAGCTGCTGCCTTTGTGCAGTCCCGCTACCACACAAAGGCTGTGCAGTCATGCGGGCCACTTGCTCTATGTGTGGAGGAATGTCCCCATTATAACCCGTGCTTAAGGGGTTAAGAAGTGAATGTTACATACTTTGAGGAATTTGAAGTGTCCCAGCAGCCGAGCAGCTTTCTCAGCATTCCGTCCTTCCTGCAAGAAGTCCAGCTCAATGGGAAGTTTCTCCTGCATCTCTTCACTCAGCCACAGCAACTCAAACTCCGGGAAGAGACGGGCTGCGGCATGCAGGAGAAACTGGGAGAAATAGTGTCGCATTATTACAATGAGCTTGATCTAATCTGCAGATGATGATCTGAGAATGGTGCAGTGTTTCCCATGGATACGCATCTCTGAGAGGCAGCGTTAGTTACCATACAATTCTCTGCTGGTACATTCCAACTACGTACTATGTAAACGCCCAGTTGTACATACAGGGTACTTGCATTGTTCTCCCTTTATCCCTCTTGTTTAGAATTTCCCTTCTGGGTACCGTTTCACAAAGGCCGACTTATAGGGTACCATTGTTCCCTTTGTGCAAGTAACCCATAGGGTAGCTCTCATAAAAACACAAAGAAACACCAAGTTCACACCAAGAACATAAACACAAAGTATGTAGGTAAATACCAAGTGCACGGTATGTAAACAACACTTGGTTCAATAACATTTTACCGAGACGATGGTAAAAACCGCATGGGTAAAATCTTACCAATGTCCACATTTGGATTTTTGACTTGGGAAACGTTTACCAAGACTGTGGCAAATGTAACTGAGTTGGGTATAAATACAAGTTGGTGCAATGGGCAGTCCTATATGGGTCATTCCATGTCAGACCAACGCACTTTTTTACCTCATGTCTTCCGATTTTGATAAAAATTGCTGTGCTTGTAGGTCCTAATGAGCAATGAATACACACCAATTTTTAGCCCGATCCGACCTATTATGTGGTCAGGGCAGAAGCCACAAAAAAAATGGCATTTTTAGAGTAAAATACCACCCTTTTGGTATAAATATGTCAAAACTGTGGCAATTTTCATCGAATATATGTGAATTTGTTATTAAAATAATAAGGATTGCATGCTCAAATCACTTCTTTTGTCAAAATTAAATTTTGTGAAAAGTAGGTCACATGACCTTAAATATGCTATCGTGACCTTTGATCCATTTTTTGTAATAATGTATCATTCCGAAAATCAACGAAATAAAAATAACTTGCTAGAGCATGTCTCTCTCTATCAGAATCTACTAAAAATCAGTTGGGGTCTTCAAAATTTACAACTTTATGACTATTTTTGTACAGTTGGTAGGTTACAAATGAGTCAATTTATAGACTTTACATAAGAAATACACCAACACAACTTACTATTCTGTTTCTAAAGTTACTAAAATATATCTTGGTTTGTGAATTTCTCATTCTGAGGGCTGATGAGGTCTAACCAGACTCATAGTGTAAATTATCAGCAGTGGCGCACCCAGGATTTGGCTTTTGGTGGGGGGGGGGGGGGGGACGGGGGGTCATAAATCGTTTTTTGTTCAAATTTCTGTAAAAGATTGGACCAACAAAAACTAGCCTAAAATCAAACAAACAAATTGACAATGTTGGGGGTGGGTTCAAGCCCCCCCCCCCCCCCCCCCTCCTGGGTGCCACTGATAATTAGTTATCCCACAAGCGCGCTTGGAATATGAAATAATGCAATGATGCTGTGACCCATATGCCACTCGATGCACTACATAATTCCGTGTTCCACGAGCGCAAGTGGGATTTATAACCAATTTATCTTCAAGCAAACTTGATATCAAATGCGTACAAAACAAATCAAACGCAGTGAAGATGTACGTGCATACATGAAGTGTATTGGTCCGTTCTGCAGGAAATAACACAACATATGTACACGTACATTTTTAATATCTGGGGTGCAATATAGCTGTGCAATATTATATAAAATCACATAGTTGTTGCTATAGATGGACTAATCAGGGTCTAGGATTCAAGTTTGCTTGAAGATAATACTTAATATTACAATCAAAGTTACCTTACTCATTCATCACTGTGCTTCTTGAACTTTAATGACTCTCACAGACTTGGCATTTTGTTCCTTTGAGATGAATTTCACCTGGACGTGAGTCCGCTGTACTGGGTGAAGGCCTGGTTACTGTTAGTAGTTAGCACACTTCCGGGTCCAGATATTCTGATTAGACAGTTTCTTTGGAATCAGAAGGTAGAATTTTGTTTTTCCTGGCTTTGTACTTTATACATAAAAATCTAAATTAATTTGAAATACACCACTTACTATTCTGTTTCTTAAGTTACTAAAATTAAATGTTAGTAACTTAAGAAACAGAATAGTAAGTTGTGTTGGTGTATTTCTTATGTAAAGTCTATAAATTGACTCATTTGTAACCTACCAACTGTACAAAAGTAGTCGTAAAGTTGTAAATTTTGAAGACCCCAACTGATTTTTAGTAGATTCTGATAGAAGAAGACATGCTCTAGCAAGTTATTTTTATTTCGTTGATTTTCGGAATGATTCATTATTACAAAAATTGGGTCAAAGGTCACGATAGCATATTAAAGGTCACGTGACCTACTTTTCATAAAATTTAATTTTGACAAAAGAAGTGATTTGAGCATGCAATCCTTATTATTTTAATACCAAATTCACATATATTTGATGAAAATTGCCATAGTTTTGATATATTTATACCAAAAGGGTGGTATTTTACTCTAAAAATGCCATTTTTTTGTGGCTTCTGCCCTGACCACATGGTAGGTCGGATCGGGCTAAAAATTGGTGTGTATTCATTGCTCATTAGGACCTACAAGCACAGCAATTTTTATCAAAATCGGAAGACATGAGGTAAAAAAGTGCGTTGGTCTGACATGGAATGACCCATATCCATGATTGTCATAACGTATCATTATGAAATACTGTTCCCTGGTATCAGTAAATAACATGCCTTGTTGTAGAATACATTAAAATGTCTCTCTCTCTCTCTCTTTCGGTGAAGTACAGTCCACCGTCTGCTGTTTTACGTACTGCAGTGGTTGTGTGCATGCAAAGTGAGGATATATACAGTCTAATGGTGTCCATGGTGTCTACAATGACTTTCATTAAAAACGGAATTCAAAATGGAGTCCAGTGTGTGAATGCTAGCCTAAACAAATGACACACAGTGCGTGTGTGTGTGCCTTTGCAGTGTGACCTTCGTTCAATGCCAAGATTCATAGCTTGTCTTTGCTGTTTTACCGACTCACTCCGTGGGCATTGAACTTTAGACAGGTCCTGGGCAAAAGTTGGCCAGTATCCACTGGACATTGGAAAAGTACCCCTTGTCTGCGGGAAACCTGTTCCTGGCAGAAATGCCCAGGGTGTTCAAGGTCCGGGCATGAAATATCTCAGATTTAAAAACTTACATCAATGGTTTTCATGTCGACGTCTGAGTAAGCCTTGACATATGGATGTTGAACTTTGACCGCTACTGACCTCCCATCCTGGAGTTTAGCACGGTGCACCTGGGCCAGGGAGGCAGTGCCTATTGGCTTATCAGAGAAGTCCAGGAACACGTCATCTACCTAGCAAATAAAAACGTTAAGATTCATAACTGCTATATTTATGTACAAGTTTACTAACAACTTACTTCCACGACCCTTTTCCTCATTCTTCCCATCAGTCGGCTTCTTGAAAATGCCTCCAAACCTTTATCCATATTTCATCTTGTATATTTCATTCGATTTCTATTTATATATGCAGTTATATATTTCTATTTAATTGTTTATTAATGTTTTCACTTTTCTTCTGTGTCACATTGTTACATTTAGTGTTTTTCATAATTGTATCATTTATATTTTTGAAGGTATGGAAATAAATGTTCTGAATAATCGTAATCGTAAACTTTATCAGCCAGCATATTGAGTTATATTAGCCAGCATATTACACAGCTATCCAAGAAAACTTGAAGCTAAAATTAAGAGCGTTTAACCCCTCAGTGACAGTCTTTTGAAAACTAGAAAACTAGGCCATGTAAAAAAAACCCCAGTTTCTCATCCCCACCCGCTTCCTTTTTTTCCGGCCGCCCTTTTTTTTCCCTTTTTCAATTCATACATTTGTAATATATTTTGCACATACATGTATATTGTTTTTTTCATGTAGAAAGGGTTATGGCACTTCTGGACACAATTTTGCATCAGCAAAATAGTCAAGAAAATTGAAGAATCCATCTTGGAAAATCATCCATCATGGAAAAAAAAATCTGCCTCCTTCATTAAAAAAAAAAGCCGGACCAAAAATTACTCTTTTTTTCTCTCTCAGCCTTAGGAATGATCCCTTTAAAGCTTTGGCCTTAATCCCCTTCCCAACATCCGTTAAAATCCACCAGGAGATTTTGGAGGATTTTGTGCACTTGAATAAGGTAGAGATGCTGTGTTATATTACATAGGACTTGGGGCCCTTTAGTATCTCTTCCTGCCTGTCAATCATACATAGTGTAGCGCAATGCATTTTATAGAGGGCACACTTTAGTTCTTTACTGGTAGCCAGCGGGGTGCGCGTGCACTCACCCAGGTTTATGGGGGCACCAGCCAATAGCGCCAGTGTATACAAGCAGCCGCGGGCTCAGCTTCACTCTTTCTGCTGTGGCCGTAACCCGAGCGCGGTCTTGTGAAGGGTTCTTGCACAGTTCTAATCTCCCACATCAACCAATAACCAATCATCTATAGTCCCAGTGGAGGGAGCCTCATACTTTGTGTGAGTGTAATTGACAAATGATTCCTGCATCGTAATCCAGATAATTAAGTAATCTCTGTAGTTTATAAGGAAGTGATTTAGTATAAGATCACGTAGGCGAGGCACCTAGGTAGGCTGAAACTGGAATGAGGAATAAATCACCAAAGCTAAGGGAAGGCGCAAATCAGTGTCCAGTGTCCCATTCCTCCCCCGAGATATCCCCCCGTCTGTCAGCCCAGTGAGTGGAGTGAGTGCGTCATAGGGTGTTGTTTTTGGTAGTCTGCTGCGGGCCTGGCGGTAAATCTCCGCCAAAACGGATCTGCGTACCCGACCGTAGAGGCTAGGCTGTTCGCCGCTACTCGCCGGGGCAGTTGTCCGAGGCAGTACCGTTTCAATAGCATTGACCAATTAGATCAGGACTTCTGGTCAGGTGACCATGGTAGCGTGGACGAACTCGGTCCCAAGCACTGTGAGAAACGTATACAAACCACAGGTGTCAAACGGTCCACACTTAAAAGTACAAGAGAATGTGCCACCGGGTTCCTGCAGACTGAAGGATTTTGGAGAATTCAGGCAGGATAGGATTTATGTAATTATGGTTCAATGACACTTGCCTTGCATTTGAGGTCTTCTTCTATGACTTTTTTGATGTCTTCAAGCTCGCTGCATGGGGCATCATTGTGAAGCACCTTCATTGTCTCCACATACTCCTTAGGGAGGAGATAGTCCAGTGCTCCCACATGCTGTCCTGCTTTGATGAAGACACCACCGTTCTTGCAGCAGAGACGATAAAGTCTTTGAGCTGATCTTAGATGTACCTGGTATTGACAACAACAATAGCAATGTTGGATGCCTGCTGACATGTATGTAACTTCAATATTGGGTTTTGCCCTTCACCGACGTATTTTTTATAAACACTGTATACTTGGTGTTGTCCCAAGTGATTGCTCGGGTGGGACTCAAACCCATGACCTCCTGCCTGCTAGTGCAGGCACCAACCTTGCTGGGGTCAGCTGGCTGGTTTGAGTCTGATGTAGCAGCGGGTACCGCAAACAAACTATTCATAAGATGAAATTTGCATGAAGGTGATTTAATATATTCAATATTGAATTTACATCACCCAGACGCAAGGTCCATCAAATGAATAGACAAATGTAAAGCTGTATTACCAGATGGGTCAAAATTTCACGTGAACAACAGAGAGCTGTTCAGCAAAGTTTCCAAGTTAGGTCACCTCCATGTATTCAGGGGTGTCAAGCACCACCAAATAATTCTAAGCAAATTTTACAACTGAAAAACAACTGTAAAATGCAAACTTGGATGGCACAAAAAATTGGCAGGTTTTTTTTTTTGGTTATCATATGCTCACTTTTGATTTAAGTTTGTTGTATCTCTCAGATCCTGGGTCCACACCAAATAAGGTGAATTTGTAATCCAATGCCACTGAAGCTGCCTGTACAAAGGAAAGAGGACAGCATCGATATGTATGTAAGTAATTACAAACGTGAAACTTGAATAATGTATTTTAAAATCCTCACTTTTCTTGATCAGAGCAGAATCACAACGAAGAATGAAAATGAATAAAACTGCATTGCAAGCTGCTTTGATTGGATTGACCTGAAATATAAAATTAGAGTGCCTGACATTTGGTCCTGGCAGGACCCTTCGCAAAGGCAAAATGACAGTGGAAACAAGTACAAACTCACAAAGATGAATTTTGGTTTACATAAACACTAACTAAATTCATAAATGCAACTCCCAAAGCTTTTCTTTTAAAACCACCTCACCAAATCCTGATTTATCACTGCATCTACAAAACTAGACTTCTCATAATCTTTTTTAACAAATCAGACATTCTCGAAAAAGAATATTGCTTTTGATTTGGAAAGTTCACATACACTAAAGAAGGCTCTTCCGAATCTGACTGGAGCGAAGGACGACCAGCTTGACTGGAGGTTCCTACTGTTCTGGTTCAGCCACACGCCAGAGGAGCCTACTGTTGCCAAGGTAACCAGTGAGACGGGTACAACGTACCCACTGTGGCGAACCAGAGAATGCAAGATTGGGCGCATCAGCATGTTTGAGCAACCTCTGTTGGGTCAAAAGTGAGGAAGAAATTCCACAAAATATACAGGGACACTGTTACGTGTAGGTTGATCATGACACAGTTTCTGAGCCAGTCTGGGGTACACAATTTATACTTAGGCAAGACGTTTTGTACCTGTAGTTCTAGGGGTAGACCCTAGACTTTTTTTTGGAACAGCCCTTTCACTTTGCACACTGTAGCAATTAATCGGAGCTAGCTCTAACACTCGTCTGAAATTTGCCAAATTTCTGATGAGTATTGGAGCTGGGGTTTTCCAAGCTAATTCAAAGCCATTCAAAATTACAAATGCATTCTGCAAATGTTCAACTTGAAACATACCCTCCTTGAATGTTCAATGGGGTATTCTTCACAATTATTCTGATAGGCGCATAACTATTTTCGTTCCAAATAAGGTGTTGCATGGTAGGCCCCATCTTGCTTGTGGGGCAATTTTACAATAATGATGTGCAAACCGGACCCGAAACCGACCCGACCCAAAACCGACTTCGGGTCGGGTCGGGTCGGGTCGGTTTGTCCATCTTTTCAGTTGGGTCGGGTCGGTTTCGGATTTGCATTTTCATGTAGGGTCGGGTCCGTTTAGCCATCTTTTGAAAAAACCGAAATAAACCGAAATAAACCGAAACAGTTAAGAAATTTAGGTGATGCAATATTATTGCTTTTTGTGGGTCCCCTGTAGTCCCACTAACTGGGGTGCTAGAACTCCTTTTTTGACATTTGGGATGTTGGTCTGTCGTACTAGCGTCCCACAACGGAAATATTGTCAAAGTGACAATTTTTTAGTGTCAAAGTTCACCACAAAAATCACGCAAAATACTTGACAAAAATACCTCTGAAAGCACCTACTGGCATTTCCACATATCAAAGACGAAGTAATGGGGCTTCAATTATACTCACAAATATTTTGTGGGGTTGAAAATCCGTGAAATTCAACCACTATTGAACAGACATCATACAGCGCTCATTCAAAAATGCTTATGGCTTTTATCTACTAACGCATATATGACGTACATCATGTACACATATACAAACACATAGGCCTACGTAAAGCAGTTATGCCAAAAAACAAAAACTTGGTCCCCTGCATCTCTAGGTGGTGTTATTTTTTGAGAACCTCCTTAGTAGTGTGTGATAAGGTTCAGCGCAGCATACTGAGTTACTCAAGCTAGGCCTGTTGTGCGCTTTCTTGAAAATCACGCAATCTTAAGAATGAGTGCGCATTCTTAAGAATGAGCACGCATTCTTAAGAATGAGCACGCAATCTGAAGAATGAGCGCTCATTCTTAAGATTGCGTAGGAATATCATGTGCGCAATTTATGAATTTTGCACAATCTTAACAAACATTGCACGGCATAATGATGTTAAATGAAATGTACATGTATAGCGGTTAAAGGGGAAATGATTCATATGAGGAAAGAAAATGAGCTATGCTCCTGTACTCGTATAACTACGATAATTTGAATCAAATTAAACCTGTTATTATTGCTTTTTTTCTGCCCACTATGGGAAGTTTTGCAATATAACGGAGGACTGGGAACTAGTCTGGGAAGTGCTTTGTTTAGGCTAGACAAGTTACAAGTCCCTGTATGTATCATATGCATATAACAAAAAAAAAATGATGTCCAGAAGCTACCAAAATTGTTCTTTTGACTACCAGTAGATACAATTCAGCTCTGTGGCGTAATGGTGGGGTGTGAACAATAGCAGTTTCAGTAGCAAATAGCATTAGCGCTATGGTATATCACAGTATTCATTCTCATTCTTCACATTCTTCATTCTTACGCCCCCCCCTTTTAATTATTGTTATAACCCAAAAATCAGAATTCTTTCCACTAGTACACTATTATTATGTCTCTTATTTTTCCCCAGTTCACCGAATACTCTACTTAGTACTTTTCATCGTTAAATCTTTTCCTAGGTAAGTGACCTTGCGTTGCATCAGTGATAATTGTTAACGACCCCTTGTTAACAATCAGTGAACAAGGATGCAGCTAGACTTGCCAAGCGCAGCCGGTGCTCGGCATCCACAAGACCTTTATCTTGTCGCGCATTCTTAAGAATGTGCGCTCAATCTGGAAGAGTTATTTTTTTGCGAAGATTGCGCAAGGATCCAGTTGCGCAATCATAAGAATGTGCATGCACATTCTTAAGATTGCGTGATTTTCAAGAAAGCGCACAACAGGCCTATGAGCTATGTTATGTACTGCATGACGTGCAAAAATGGCAATCATGCAACATCATTAGCTTGAGTAACTCCAGCTGACATGCTCATATTCATTCACATGTAATGCCACCGAAATCTTTAAGATGGTCTGTTTCAAGTCGATCATTAGGCTTCGTAAATGACTGCCATGACTGCTGAATGTACATGATGTATGAGGTATGTAAATGAACTCTTGGGTGGTATAGAGGTGAAAATGAACAATTTTTGAGAGGCCATTTTTTTAGGGTCGTCTTGCTACCACATTCTAACGAACAGGTTATGCCTCCAGCGTTACGTGTGAATGAATATAAGCATGTCAGCTGGAGTTACTCAACATGCTCAAGCTACAACATCATGTGCACTGTGGTTCTACGTTCACACTGAACTAACATTCATTCGATTCTCGATTGGATTCCATATTACTATTAGTCTATTCTACAGCCCCATCTTCTGATGAAGAATAATACTTACATGAATTTTAAAAGAAACTTCAAGAAACGTCACAAGTTGCATAGTTTTAAGTTTCTTATTCCTCCATGGTGAAACTGTGGGAAAAATGCTCAACAATTATGTATTGCGTAATCGCAAGAGGGCGCTGTTAAAGGTAAACCACTTCTTGGTTCAGAATATCACACCAACTTCAGGTTTTTCTCCTTTATAACAGGAGGCCAAAAACACCGGGGCAAACTCCTTCTCTACGCAATAAGGGAAAAAAACACTTGCCTTTTTCCTTTTTTTTATTTGACTTGTTATTCTTTTTTTTTTTATCTTTGTTTCATTTGTCCTAGCCTTTTTAACTCCGTTATCTGAAACCAGTTTATTTGTTAACGTTATTGTCACCAGGGATTATGGATAAACACGTCTCAAAATGACAGTTTTATACTTGCGTTCATTCCTAGAAAATCCCTGCTACGTACCCTGTGAATACACGTTTTCATTATTTTACCTTTGTACAGTGGCGCACCCGGGGGAGCCCCCCCCCCCCCCCCGAGGTTGTCATTTTTTGGGGGAGGGGGTTGTTTTTTTTTAGTCCCACGATTTTACCTTGGTGATAATATCACCAAGGTAAAAGCGTGGGACTAAAAAAAAACAAAATCCCCCCCCCAAAAAAATGTGATCTATTTTCGGGTGTAAGTGGCGCCACATATTAGCCTTGACCAAGGCTATCAGCTTTTGCCATACGAGCTTGTTCCCGCTACCGGGCGCACACCGCGCGCGCCCCAACACAATCACAAGTTGACTCGGTTATACATGTACTTAACTCTTTAAGTTCATTCAACAGAAGTCTGTCCTGATCACTTCCAAGATCTCGGATAACTTTTCTATTCTGCCCACCTGATATGTTTGTTGGGTTGTTTGGGTGTTCGTTTGTTGGGTTGTGGGGATGTGTGTTTGTTTATATTTTGTTTGCTTGTAGGTTTTTTTTGTGGGGTTATTGAAGTGTCGGTCTGATGGGGTACTAGTTTGCTTGTTGGGTTTATATTTTTTTTATTGGGGGTATTGTTTATTTACCCATTTCCAGTTTATTTGTTGGGCAGTTTGAATAGTTGTATTTGTTAGTTTTTGCTTATTGTTAGTAGACATGCTCTGTTACTCGTGTGATGTCTTTCGATTATATTACATTTGCTTGCCATTTTGTTCTAACTAAATTTGTGTTTTTGTTATTTGTTTTGTGTGTGTGTGTGTGTGTTTTTGTTCTTGTTTTGTTTTGATTTAGTTTGTTTGTTTGTTTGTGTTTTTTGGTGTTTTTTTTTTCATTTATATATTTATATTTACATTGAATACTATTTAATGTTTGTGTAGACATTTCGAGCATGGGTTGGCAGGCCTTAGGACTACAGTGTTTTAGTACACTTTATTGTTTTTGTTTTCTGTCCCTCTATCTCCTCCCCCCTGTCAAACTGTCCATCCTCCCTGCCCTCCCCCCTCCCCCGACCCATTCCTACTCGCATTCTTCAGTCTTGTCTGGTCTTACCTTTCAATTTTCAATTTTTGTTTACTTCTTACTTTTTATTTGCTTTGTCATTGTACTTTTGTTCATTTGTTGGCCGAATAAATAATAATAATAATAATAATAATACCGTTAGCCTTAACGACCCTTGCGTGTGCTTTGTGGGCATGTACTTACGCGCCACACGCACTTCCACGATATTCCGCCTCGTCTTACTGTAACGGCTGTTTGCGAAAGTGTGTGTGGGGCGTACTTACATGCACATAAAGCACACGCAAGGGTAGTTGGGGCTGAACGGTATACATGTAGTACAACTCGTGGTTTGGTTGTGTCGCGGCGCGCGCGGTGTGCGGTAGCGGGAACAACCTCGTATGGGAACAAGCTGATAGCCTTGGTCAAGGCTAGGTGAAGCCGTCCAAAATTTGCGGCCGCCCGCCTGTTCGGAGTGAGCATTCCAGAGAGAGAGAGAGAGAGAGGGAGGAAAGTTTTTGTTACATTAAGTAAACAGAACAGCTTGTTTTTTAATACACTGTGGGAAAAATCCTCATAAAATAATATGTTAATAACCTACATTAATGACAGTTGTATACATCAAAACATCCGAATGATACAATTATTAGAATTTCGACCAGGGTGCAAAAGCCTTATACGTGTATATTGACTTTTATAAAATAAAGTTGGCACTTATTATTTATCGGAAGTATACACACCGTGATCCGTCCGTGCGCGGGAGTCACGGAGGTCAAAGGTTCTTATGTTTCATATGACAATATGTATATTACAGAACCTATGCAAATTAAATGAAAACGTATGCGCTATTTGCATATAAATGAATAATAATTGTCCAACTGTCTGAGAACAAAACATAGAGGTCGCACTCTTCAATCCACGGTCTCCGACATTTAATACATTTTGTGATAATAAATTTTATCACTTAAATGATCAAATTGTTTATAAGCAGGAATATCGATTCAACTGGGTCTGTTTTGATGGCTGATAGTCGAGCAGTCCCTCTGCATGGCATATTTGTGCAACAAGCCCACACACATACGGCTGGGATACACGATACCTAACGGCTAGAATAAACCAATCAGAGCACGGGATTTCTAGCCAATGCGCAAGCAAGAAAAGTTTGCAGCATTCCATTCAGGATGAGGTGATTTTCAGCCAATGAGAAATGGGCGGCAAGGCACATTTGGCGGCAAACCAAGCCGTGTTGCGCAATTTTGGCGGCAAACCGAGCATGCAGTCACTTTTGTCTCAGCCTCCAACGGACAAACACTGGTTTAATTGAATGCGTCTCCAAAATTTTGTTTGTTGCCGCTACTGGAAAGTCATATTTCGTTTGGTGCTCAGGATATATCCTATAAAGGACGCATCAGCTTTAGGTTCGATATAACTTTGTTTTCTGAACCCTTGGTTGTCTCAACAACGATTGAAATTCCTCCTGGAAAAATTGAGCCACGGCTGTTCGACGGAGCGGTTGTGGGCCAAAACCATCTATATTAATAGCTCGTCTGTAGGCTCACTGGAGCATCCCCGAAGAGGAACCCGACCAGGAGTGGCCTTTCGTAGCATCGTGATTCCAAAGACGATCGCAGAGAAGGAGAATGCCACGCCCAAAGCGTCGAGCGCAGCCGCCAGCAACATTGCGAGACGGCGATGGGGTCCTCCCGCCGCCGAAACGGCCAGCGCGAGCCCTCGAACAACCAGCGGGAGCCATGCCGATGGATGGAGCCCAAAGCACTACCAAGAACGTGCCGGAGGATGCCGCCGGGCAGCAGACAGTCGCACCGGGTAGGGGTGAGTCCACGGTGGATATGACGGGTGGGGTTGGTACCGCCGATCACCAAGCGGACGCCCCACCCATCGTTCCCAGTGTCTACACCCCACTGGGATACCAACTTCCCCTGCCCATAAAAGAACAAATTTGGAACAGTTCCTATGTTAATTTTGCATTACTTTGTTCCGACACCGTATCTGCGGCTGCCACTTTTACAAAGGCAGAAGACGGTGGGGAGCTTACGCTGGCCATGGAGGGCAACCGCATGGTTGTTCGTAAGGCCTCCTCACCAACCACTAAAATCGACACAATCGACAAGTGGTCTTCTGCCTTCCATACTTTCATGTCGATTTTTATAGTGCGCCATCCAAACCGTGCAGCCGAACTACTGAAATATGCAGAGACAGTTCGGCTGGCGGCGCGGCAGTTCCCCGATTTCGGGTGGCGTAATTATGATGAACAGTTTCGGCTCAGGCAGGAGTTGAACCCGAGCCGGAACTGGGGCGAACTTGATACTGAGTTGTGGCTTACAGTGGCGGCCGCAGTTACGGTGTCAACCATGGCATATGGCTCAAATGGGCAGCGACCTACTTCCGCATCATCCTATGATAAATTTTCGAGGCAACCGGCCATGTCAGGGCAAGGGATTTGTTTTGCATTCAATGGGCCACAAGGATGCCATTTCCATTCGTGTAAATACTGGCACAAGTGTAGCAAATGTTCTCATGGGGGCCATGGGGCCGCCGCTTGTAAAGTTAGTTTGGTGCAGAATTCCCCATATGCTTGGCGAAAAACCCTCCTCTAAAAAACCCACAGCCAACGTCTCCGGTGACCTTACCGTGCCACCCCAGCTCGGGCGTAGGCATAGCGGTCAAAATACAGGTGTTCCCAAACAGACCGGCATGACAAAGACCGGAGGAGCTGGGAATTCTTTTCGTCCCCCCAACACCCATTAAACTGTTTTTGCTGCGCCGGTGGCTTATGAGCTACCCAAAACCAGACGACGCTAAACTTTTGGAGGAAGGGTTTTCACGTGGGTTTTCCTTAAAGTATACGGGTCCCAGGCACAGTCGCAAGGCGGGCTGCCTTTCTTCAGCGGCGGCCAGGCCTGACATAGTTAAGGACAAACTTACCAAAGAAATCAGTTTGAATAGGATAGCCGGTCCCGTTAACGATCCACCTTTCCCTACCTTACAGTGTTCTCCCATAGGCCTCGTACCAAAACGCGAGCCCAACTCTTTTCGGCTCATACATCATTTGTCTTTCCCCATGGGCAGTTCTATCAATGACTTCATTGATAAAGCGGACTGCAAGGTCAACTATGCATCTTTCGATGAGGCAGTTGATTTAACTATGTCGGCGGGTCAGGGTGCCTGGTTAGCTAAATCAGACATCAAATCCGCTTTCCGCCTTCTCCCCGTTACCCCTAGAGATTACGATCTTTTGGGTTTTATGTTTGAGGAGCAGTATTTCAGGACAGAGAATGGCAGACAAATTCAGCAATACAGTTGTACACTGACGCAGCGGCCAGTATCGGGTTTGGGGCATTTTTTGGAAACATGTGGTTTCAAGGCAAATGGCAACCCGAATTGATCCAAGCTTCCCCTTCAATTGCATATTTGGAGTTCTTTCCTATCATGATGGCGGTTCGTTGCTGGGGGCCTGAACTAGCCAATCAATGGGTGATGTTTCACTGTGACAACATTGCAGTGGTGCACATCATAAACCGACAAACGTCGCGCTGCCCGAGGATTATGTATCTTGTGCGTATGTTTGTGGTCGACTGTTTGAAATTCAATATCCAGTTTAAGGCTGTCCATGTCCCCGGTGCAACCAATGATATTGCCGATGCTTTGTCTCGTT